ATGGGTAAGTCCGAGCTCCGGCGCCTTTTACTCGATTTTCCTGCCTTTTAGTCAAGCGTTCCATACATTCTTAGTAACTATTCAATAGCGATGAGTCTTTATAGTTGAAATATCGAAAGTTTTATTCACCAAACGTAAAAAGTAAAAAAGTAATCCCCTTTGTATGTGGTGACAACGTAAACACGTGAGAGCGAGAGAAGCATGGCTGGCTAGTGTAATTTGTTTTCCTGGCTTAGGCGTCTAAAATTACACTTCGGTCGTTATATCATATCAATTGAATGGTCTCTTAGATTGCGCTTGTTAAATAGATGTATTAGATTTTTCTCTGATGGCTGAAAGTTATCGTAATATGGCAAGTGGCGTTCTTGTTTACGTTACGGGGGAATTCGTCCTGCTTGAACTTTTCATCTTAATCGCAGAGGGTCGTTTATTTTTCATGTGTGTGTGAGTTACCTCTTTTGCAAGTATATTAGCGAAGCAGATAGTTTCGAAATTATCTTTGTAGTCGAGGGGAATATATTAGTTGGGAAGTGCCTCTTTGCCGGGACATTGCCCAGGATCGGGGGTGAAGTTCGCTTTTTTTTTTTTTTTTTTTGTATTCTGCCCACTTGCTGCTGCTGTCAGATCTCTGGAAAAGACTAGTGTATATGCACCGTGTGTTCAGAGACCTTGCAGGCTTTCTTTTAAGCAGGAGCCAGTTAAAGATAACTTTGTCATGTATCCAAAGTGGTTGTTAGCTTTTATCAAAAGGTTGAAAATATGAAGTCTGGGGACCACAGTTGGTTAGGACCTAAGGTAGACTTTGTGAGCTTGATAAATATTAAAGAAAATCTTGGTAGAAGTCTACGTAACTGCATCATGATCAAGCAATTCTAAATGCATAGACTACTACAAAGAGCCTTGTATTGAAACCCCAAACCTTCCTAGACTTTTGTACACTTTTAATCCTGTAAATGTTGTGTTCAGATTTTGTACTGATAATCAGACTCTGAAAACTTTCAGTATTTGATAATGAGCGACACCCCCTCCAGAGATGGACTACTAAAACAAATGAAAATCGAAACCTAACTTTTTCTCTTATAGTTAGTTCCTAGATAGGGTAATCCTCCCATTTATTAGCACATCATGCCAACTTGTAGAAAATGTGAAATTAAGAACTTGTGGTATGCATTGTATATTTTCGTAATTTTGTGGTAAATGAGGCCGCAGAATCTGTACCTTTTTTTACTATTTGGTTATTATTACTAGGAGTGGGAGATGGAGGAAAATACACTACCATTTTATAGATTAAAAATGTCCTAAAAAAGCATGGGTACAGCAGCACTGGCCTTGTATTTACCTTGAAATGTCAAATACTTTAATGTTTCCCGAAAGTAGGGCTGAAGTGTTCATAATGGGAAAGGAAGCAGTTCACATACCCATGAACTATAAATGAACCTCTGCAATTAAGAGGAAATGCTCAAGCAGAGGAAGTTCCTCCATGACATAAACAGGGTTGTTACTTACCAAATTACGATTCCCTTCAACCATAAGATTAAATTCTAGACATCTATATAACTAGCACAACCTAAGGAAAGATTATTTGTATTTCTAGGTCTTTGTGATACCCTGGTCTTTGTGATGGTCTCTGGAGGGTATCTTGCTCTGAAACAAATACTATTTTATTATGGTGATGTCAATTACCCTCTGTTTCTGTGCATTTATCTTTAACATTTTTTCCCATCAATCATGCACTTAATCACACCATATACATTGAGAACTTTTTTCAAAATGTCGAGTGCATTGATCATCAGTACTGAAATCAGTATTTAGAAAGTTGCCTACAGGTTCATGATATTTACATGGTATAACCAGTGGTGATAATGCTTCACACTAATAGGAAGAGGTTAGGTTATGTGCTATTGGTTTCCAGTATCTCATTAGGATAATTGATTTTTACCAGTTCTGCTACATTGCTACCTTGTCAGGCATGGGATTCATAACTTAACCAAGTAGTAGTGATCTACAACCATTTCATAAAGGTAAATTTAATTACAGGTAAGCCTCGTGGAATCCGTACTGCCCGCAAGCACGTGAACCACCGTCGTGAACAAAGATGGCACGATAAGGACTACAAGAAAGCCCATTTGGGAACTCGCTGGAAGGCCAATCCCTTCGGTGGTGCCTCCCACGCTAAGGGCATTGTCCTTGAGAAGATGTAAGTCTTTACTTAAATTTCAGGGGTAGCATAATAGTTGTGATTAAGTTATTTAATGTTGCATACCAGATGTAGGTTTCAAGCTAGTTGTGCTTTAATCTATAGTTGAAACTTTTGCATTGAATTATAATAGGAATTTGCTGTATAGTCAACCATTTCCTTAGTAAACAAAAGTATATTGTAGTGTTCATGTATAATATTGTAATGAGAATCATATTTAGACTACCAACCATCATTGAAGCTAATTACTTTCCTAATTTGATAATTTTTCATGCAAAGTAATGAGATTCCTGAAACCTTGCTATTTCAGTGGTATTGAGGCCAAGCAGCCTAACTCTGCCATCCGTAAGTGCGTCCGAGTCCAGCTTATCAAGAATGGCAAGAAGATCTCTGCTTTTGTCCCCCGGGATGGTTGCTTGAACTTTATTGAAGAGAACGATGAAGTGTTAGTGTCAGGATTTGGTCGTAAGGGCCATGCCGTCGGTGATATTCCCGGTAAGTTATCATTTCAGTTGGAATAAGAAGTTTGTTTCATCTAAATTATTGATTCCCAATTGCTCCCAGGCTGTATGCCCCTTATCTTCCACAGTTTCTTAGCACCCCCCACCCCACCCACCCAAACACACAGATACATGGATGTGAACACTATTTTTTGTATGCTTCTAATTAATAAGAAGATTCAACAGAAACCTGTACATTTGAGTCCTAAGAATTGCTCCTAATACCATCTTTCCACAATCTCCAATGATCTAAAAAAAATTGTACTTTGTAAATAATGTGAATTGTAGAGTATGAAATATTGTTGAAATGTACTTAATTTTTTTTTCTTTGATTTACAGGTATCCGTTTCAAGGTAGTGAAGGTCGCCAACGTTTCCCTGCTTGCTCTGTACAAGGAGAAAAAGGAGAGGCCTCGTTCTTAAATTAGCCATTCTCAAATTAAAGGAAAAAAATCAAAACCTTGAATATTATTTATCCCTAATCTTGAAATGGAAAAACCTGAAGTAAAGAAAGATATGAACTTGAGCAAAAATGAGCCTTGTGTAGGTTGCACATACCCTGCTACAAGTACATTAATCTTGTGCATATTATTGCTAAAACTGAAAGGAAGACATGGTACTGTAAAAGTTTCCAGATATTTTATAAGGGAGTCAGAACTTGAACATTAGTTACTGAAATTTGGTATTCCAGATGTGAAATAGAATCCTATGAGTACCCCATCCCTTTATCCATGTAAAGATCTATACATATTGTATGTATAAACAAGACAGCTTACTTTAAATGTGAAATAGAATTTTAAGAGTGCTGATTGCAGTTGCATAACGCTGCTACTATCAAGCTAGAAACTCAGAATTTAGGCTATTTTGCATAAATTATGGCAAATTTCAAATGGATTTGAACTAACAATCATTAGAATGTTTCCATATTTCAAGTCTGTGAATATCTCCCATGCCTCCTATGCAATAGTTATTGTATATTTAAGTATCCCTGATTTTTTTAATGTCTAGGCAAGCAGGTATACTTGGTGGGAAAGTGTTAGAAATGGAGATGGATATAGATATGTTTAAACAACCAGTTTGCAAGTGGGATCTGTCATTTAGGTTGCTCGTCCTTGACTTCACTATTTTGGGCATGTCTGCCAGTCGGGCCCACTCATTTGGTCATATAACCTTGAGTGGACATTTCGCATTACTGTTTATTAAATAAATGTTTTTAGGATCACTCATATTATGGCAAATGCAGTTCAGCATACTTGAGATTACTTTTGCTACTAGAATAAATGTTAAAAGTATTTATAGTGAATACATCCATTCATGAAAACTGGCTTTAAAAATTATAACATTTCATTTCATAGCAATTTCAAAGGCATACAAACATTGCTTAGTTTAACAAAACTATACATATTACAAGTATAACAAATAGATTCACAAATGATCAGGGTTAATTAGCACAGTATCTTGCTGCTGCTGCTACTACTTGAAGTCTTAAAACTTTTAGATTTGATTTTATGATTTGTCTACATCAAACTGACTTGAGAAAATTGGTTAACCTTTATTGTATGAATCCCCCAAAGCTAGGGCAATTTGAAGTTGATATTCTTGCAGAAAAGAAGTTGCAGTCACCTATGAATGAAATAATTTGCAGACAGGAATGATTAATAACAATACGTATATAGGAAAAAGATCTTTGAAAGCACCGATCACAGCCTAACTTCTCTCGGGACCCCTGAGTTTTAACACCATCTTTCTATTGTGTATACCGAGGTGAAAAAAAAATGTCAGGAAGTGTCACCCCATCAACTTTAACTGTCATGAAGTTGGGGGTCTTAGTCTGGTGAGTACATTCGTCATATAAATAATTACCAGAGAATATCATTATACCAAATAGGGTGCTTGTGAGTATGGACAACCTTATAATTATAAAAGTTTGTTATCACTATCAAATTAATTTTATTATATTTCAACAATTCACACTGTAAAATTATATAACATTCATATGTCTGTGGTTTCAGCCTAGAATTAATGAGTTATGAGTGACTACCCCCAATCCCTTGCTCATTACCGTGGGGGCATAGGAGGCGGAAACTGAGGCCCTTTGTAGGGATCACTCCTGCTTTGGATCTTGGCCCTCGTCTCAACTAATTTTGTAGGGTCTTTTCTTCATTACCGTGGGGGCATAGGAGGCGGAAACTGAGGCCCTTTGTAGGGATCACTCCTGCTTTGGATCTTGGCCCTCGTCTCAACTAATTTTGTAGGGTCTTTTCTTCTCCTTTCCTTTTCCCTCTCTTCTTCATCCCCTTCTGTCTACTTATCCAAACCGTTAACTCAAATTTATCCTTTTCGAGACAATACTTTACCTTTGATGCCTGGTACAATTATTTGATATGACCACATTGTTGACCTCATCTCAACTAATTTTGCAGGATCTTTTCTTCTCCCTCCTATCTTTTCCTTTTCCCTTTTTCATCTCTTTCTGTATACTCGTCTAAATCATTAACCAATATTTACCCATTTTGCTATAATACTTTACCATAATGCTGTGTGACCTTTTATGTCTAGCACATTTGACCATTAACCGTTCTTGAAATCCAGAAACAGTGCCTTGTGAAGCAAGGAACTTTCGTAAGAGGGGGCTTCGCCCCCATGCCCTACCCTATTGCTATATTTTGTATACACCACTAATGACCTCAGATGTCGCGGCAGAAATTTTTTAATGAATTAAATAATTCTGACTGACTACATAGTCCTTATTAAATTAATTTAATAAAGTTTACCAAGCTCAAAATGTCCACAATGTATGTAACACTTGATAATAAATTTGACTCCTTAAACTGTTTGTTTAAGGAGTAGAATAGTTAATGGTTAGAACAAACTAATGTACTAGACATTTAAGGTCACATAGTACTATGTACTGCAGCAGAATGGGTAGCAATGAGTTAATGATGAGGGTAAACTGTTAAGAGGTTAAACAGCATTTTAGAATAGTATGGTAGTAAAACCCTCTCAATCCCATGCTCATTGTTACCGTTGGGGGTTTCGGAGGCAGAGATTGAGGCCCAATGTAGGAGTCACCCCAGCTTAGGACCTCAGCCCTCGCCTCAAGTAATTAATTTTACAGGATCTCTTCACCCCATTTCCTTTTCCTTCTCTTCTTCATCTCCATCTGTCCACTTATCCAAATCGTTAACTTATATTTCTTGCAACAATACTTTGTCATAACTGTGTGACCTTTGATGCCTGGTACATGTGTTTGTTTTGACCACTGATCATTCTGGAAATCCACAAATATCGCTTTGTAAACAACAACAACAAAATTACGTGGGGGCTTTGCCCACAAGCCCCACCTTATCGCTATGTTTTGGATAAGCCGCTAATGATATTAGATGTTGATGCAGCAGAAAAAAAAATTGATAAATAAATGAAAATATGGTAGTGAAACCCTTAACTAATTTGGCATGGTCTTTTCTTCTCTTTTCCATTTCCTTTTCGTTTGTTTTAACCATTCTGGAAATCCACAAATGTCACCTTGGGAGCAAAATAAAAACTTATGATGATGATGCAGCAGAAAAATTGATAAATGAAAATATGGTAGTGAAACCCTTAACTAATTTGGCATGGTCTTTTCTTCTCTTTTCCATTTCCTTTTCGTTTGTTTTAACCATTCTGGAAATCCACAAATGTCACCTTGGGAGCAAAATAAAAACTTATGATGATGATGCAGCAGAAAAAAAAATTGATAAATGAAAATATGGTAGTGAAACCCTTAACTAATTTGGCATGGTCTTTTCTTCTCTTTTCCATTTCCTTTTCGTTTGTTTTAACCATTCTGGAAATCCACAAATGTCACCTTGGGAGCAAAATAAAAACTTATGATGATGATGCAGCAGAAAAAAAAATTGATAAATGAAAATATGGTAGTGAAACCCTTTACTAATTTGGCATAGTCTTTTCTTCTCTTTTCCATTTCCTTCTCGTTTGTTTTAACCATTCTGGAAATCCACAAATGTCACCTTGGGAGCAAAATAAAAACTTATGATGATGATGCAGCAGAAAAAAAAATTGATAAATGAAAATATGGTAGTGAAACCCTTAACTAATTTGGCATGGTCTTTTCTTCTCTTTTCCATTTCCTTCTCGTTTGTTTTGACCATTCTGGAAATCCACAAATGTCACCTTGGGAGCAAAATAAAAACTTATGATGATGATGCAGCAGAAAAAAAAATTGATAAATGAAAATATGGTAGTGAAACCCTTAACTAATTTGGCATGGTCTTTTCTTCTCTTTTCCATTTCCTTTTCGTTTGTTTTAACCATTCTGGAAATCCACAAATGTCACCTTGGGAGCAAAATAAAAACTTATGATGATGATGCAGCAGAAAAAAAAATTGATAAATGAAAATATGGTAGTGAAACCCTTAACTAATTTGGCATGGTCTTTTCTTCTCTTTTCCATTTCCTTTTCGTTTGTTTTAACCATTCTGGAAATCCACAAATGTCACCTTGGGAGCAAAATAAAAACTTATGATGATGATGCAGCAGAAAAAAAAATTGATAAATGAAAATATGGTAGTGAAACCCTTAACTAATTTGGCATGGTCTTTTCTTCTCTTTTCCATTTCCTTTTCGTTTGTTTTAACCATTCTGGAAATCCACAAATATCGCTTTGTAAACAACAACAACAAAATTACGTGGGGGCTTTGTCCACAAGTTCTACCCTATAGCTATGTTTTGGATAAGCCGCTAATGATATTAGATGTTGACGCGGCAGAAAAAAAAAATTGATAAATGAAAATATGGTAGTGAAACCCTTTACTAATTTGGCATAGTCTTTTCTTCTCTTTTCCATTTCCTTCTCGTTTGTTTTGACCATTCTGGAAATCCACAAATGTCACCTTGGGAGCAAAATAAAAACTTATGATGATGATGCAGCAGAAAAAAAAATTGATAAATGAAAATATGGTAGTGAAACCCTTAACTAATTTGGCATGGTCTTTTCTTCTCTTTTCCATTTCCTTTTCGTTTGTTTTAACCATTCTGGAAATCCACAAATGTCACCTTGGGAGCAAAATAAAAACTTCTTATGATGATGATGCGGCAGAAAAAAAAATTGATAAATGAAAATATGGTAGTGAAACCCTTAACTAATTTGGCATGGTCTTTTCTTCTCTTTTCCATTTCCTTTTCGTTTGTTTTAACCATTCTGGAAATCCACAAATGTCACCTTGGGAGCAAAATAAAAACTTATGATGATGATGCAGCAGAAAAAAAAATTGATAAATGAAAATATGGTAGTGAAACCCTTAACTAATTTGGCATGGTCTTTTCTTCTCTTTTCCATTTCCTTTTCGTTTGTTTTAACCATTCTGGAAATCCACAAATGTCACCTTGGGAGCAAAATAAAAACTTATGATGATGATGCAGCAGAAAAAAAAATTGATAAATAAATGAAAATATGGTAGTGAAACCCTTAACTAATTTGGCATGGTCTTTTCTTCTCTTTTCCATTTCCTTTTCGTTTGTTTTGACCATTCTGGAAATCCACAAATGTCACCTTGGGAGCAAAATAAAAACTTATGATGATGATGCGGCAGAAAAAAAAATTGATAAATGAAAATATGGTAGTGAAACCCTTAACTAATTTGGCATAGTCTTTTCTTCTCTTTTCCATTTCCTTCTCGTTTGTTTTGACCATTCTGGAAATCCACAAATGTCACCTTGGGAGCAAAATAAAAACTTCTTATGATGATGATGCGGCAGAAAAAAAAATTGATAAATGAAAATATGGTAGTGAAACCCTTAACTAATTTGGCATGGTCTTTTCTTCTCTTTTCCATTTCCTTTTCGTTTGTTTTAACCATTCTGGAAATCCACAAATGTCACCTTGGGAGCAAAATAAAAACTTATGATGATGATGCAGCAGAAAAAAAAATTGATAAATGAAAATATGGTAGTGAAACCCTTAACTAATTTGGCATGGTGTGGGACTGACCAAGATGAGATGGAGGATTTTATAGTATGCAGTTTATTGGTGGTGAGGCCAGACTTGAAACATTGCCAGCGGGTAAAGAGGAAGGTTTTCAAATCAGGATTATAGTCAGTGGCTGCTGTGTGTAAAAATCTGAGTTGATTGGATGTGGACAAGGCAGCAGAACGTGCCAAGGCATTGGTCTGTTCAATGCCAGGGATCCTAGGATGGCTGGATATCCAGCCAAAACTAACGGTTTTGTGTCAAGTAAGGGGATTCACTGGCAGTACAGATTGCAAGAGGAATAATGAGTTTCTGGAATCCATAAAGATTATGAAGGATGAGAAAGAGAGATAAGGTAAGCATGTTGACGGGAAGAGGATCTCATAAAATCATAGCTGAATTCATTTGGAAGTGGAAAGTTTAATTAAAGTATAGGAAGGAAATATTATAGCAAATCCAGCACCAGAGACGGATTTAGACCCATCTGTATATGAGTGTGTACTGGAGGAGTGAGTAGAGGCATGGTCGAGAAAATTAGTAAGGACAGAAAGGGGAGTGTCTGATTTGAATGAATCAGGGAAAACAGTTGAACAAATACAGGATGAAGATACTAACCTGGGAAGGAATGTCTGGCAAGAAAAATGAAGGGATCTAAGGAGTAGAAGCAGCAGTAAAAGGGGCTTGATGATTAAAGAATAATATAGTGATGGGAAAGAAAAGGATTTCAAATTACTGTAAGTAGAACTGATTTTGCAATGAAAAAAAAATATTAGTGATTTTGTACAAATAGAATAAGTAGACTTAATATGACAGCAATAAACCTACAGTGCATTATTTCAGATTTTCAGTATTTTCTAGAATCAGAGTCTAGTCATGTATTGTATCATTCAGATCTTATTGATGGGACAAACATTGGTGGATACTAGCTTCATAATTTATTCAAAATATTATTTTTTAAATATACCACATAGTTGATTTAATAGAAAGTTACTGGTATATGAAGGGTATGGTCATGAAATAAAATTTTGAAACATATTGCCCCCATACCCCACCCTCTTTCCATTTCCTCATCAAGCTTGCCTTTTGTTTCCAATTGTAGTTAATAAGTAACATCTTCTCTAAAGATATGTTAAAAAAAAAAAAAAAATAATGACACCAGGAGCAATAGCTATGAATTTCTGCTTAGTATGCAACACTGGAAGTAAAAAAATGAATACTGAAAACAAAAACAGTTGTAATCCCCTGCATTGGCTTCAGTCTCTGTCTCCTAAGCCACACATGGCAACAAAAAGCAATGGATTGGGGAATAAATTCAACAGATCCACCTTGATATACTAGTGTTAATTTGCTCCCCCATCACAACAGAAACATACATATTACATGTAATATGTGAATAATTAAGTTAACAATGTGAAAATAGTTGTGCTAACACTGTTGTCAAGACTTCAACTGAAATTATGTGTATATTATTTCCTGTAAATTTTTGTGTACAGTAATTACCTTGCATCACAAATAAACATTTAAAATCACAAAGTCAGTTGAATATGAATTTTAATTCATACTCAACTAATGTTAAATTTTGTATTGATAAAATATCAACCCCCAGGCAAAGCATAAAGTGGCATCACTTCATAGCTAAAAATAACAGTCTACATGTAATATCTCATTACAGGTTCTAATCACTAGGATGTAATGTTACACAAGCTACAAGGCAGTTCCTTGCAAAATTTCTGATATTTTCCTCATTTCTGGGGTAATGACTGATATATCAAGTAACACTTTGTCTTGTGAAATGGTTAATAATATTATTTATTGAAAATTTTCTGCCGCATCAGCACTAAGGTCATTAGTGGCGTATTCAAAATATAGCGATTATGTGAGGTTTAGGGGCAGAGCCCCCAGGTATGGAAGTGCTATATGACATCAAAGGCCATATAACACTATGGTAAAGGAGAGTAGCTTGAAAGGTTAGGGATGAGTTAATGATTACAGTAAAGTTACAGGTTGAACAGTAATAGAGGGTAGTATTGTAGTGAAAAGGGTGGAGAGGGGGTCTGATGGGGTATAGTACAAGGTAAAGGGTGTTAGAAGAGGAAAGAATTAAGGGAGTAGGGAGCATTATGATAATGCGTTGTGATGAAAGCAGCAAAAATGAGAACATTTAAGGTAAGTGGGCAGAACAAAGGGATGAAGAAAAAGAAAAGAAAAGGAGAGAAAAGACCATGCAAAATTAGTAGAGGCTAGTGCTGAGGACCAATGCAGGAGTGATCCTCTACACTGTGCCTCAATCCCCTTCTCCAAAACCCCCAACAGGACTGGGGGTGTGTGAAATGGATAGCATCCAGAATGGAACTATAGTGCTTCACATTTTCAAAATTTAATATCTGTATCTTCTATACAATAAAATCAGTGTTATTAAATAAAAATCATGCTGAATAGAAAAAAAAAATGTTTGATTAAATTCAGATCCTTCCAGATTATCTATTAATTTCCTGACCTTTAAAAGTTCTTTAGATACTGTAACACATTTATACTTCTCTAAAATTTTATCAATTCCCATCACAAAAGTAAGTTCTTAAGGCCTGTCCACACAGGCATTGGTGGGCATGAATATTTATATTTATTGAAAATTTTGTCACATCAACATGTAAGATCATTATTGACATTCAAAATATGACAATAGGGTGGGGCTTCAAGTATAGCATTATGATAAAAGTATTGTGGAAAAAAAGTGGAAAAATGAGTTAATGACTAGGATAAGTGGACAGAAGGGGATGAAGAGAAGGAAAGAAGGGGAGAAGAAAAAAAGCATGCAAAATTTGCTGAGGCAAGGGCTGAGGTACAAGACAGGGGTGGGCCCTTACACTGGACCGTAGTCCCTTTCTCCTAAGCCCCCTCAACAACGAGCAAGAGATTGAGGGGAGTCTACTCAGTAAGCAAGTAGTTTTCTCATTTCCTTGTCCGAGCCACCTTTGCAGTTGCCTGTCCATGTGGATAGGCCTTAGGCAAGGTTAATGCAGCTCAGCAACTTCACATTGGAATTATAGTATTCAGTCTGGAATTTATAACAATTTATACTTCATATTATGAAAGTGGATCAATTTTCATCCATTTTGGTTGAGTGATTACTTACTATTAAATGTCATGTCCAGTTAGTCTTTCAAGACTGCTCTCAAATTGATTAAACTTATCCATTTCATCCAAGTTTAGTGGCTGACGTAGATGTTGAAAACAGTCTAGTCTTTATTTAAAAGATAAAATCAGGCAATAGTAACATTTTCATGTCAAATTCAAAACTAAATGAAGTAAATTTTTAAAAGGTGTAATTTTAATGCTCACAGAAAAACTATTATTCTAAGCTGGTTACTTTCTCAAGTAACTTGATAGTAAAGCATTACCTGCTTTATACACTTCACTAAACAAGAACACTTGATCACAAAAAAAATGAAACACCACCATTACTTTTGTATGAAGTAATCTATAATAGCAATATAGTATCATGCTTAGTCATCGACAGGGTAATGATTGACAAACTCTGAAGGTCTGCAGTTATGAATTATTTTGAGGAAATGCCGAAGCAGCCTGATTTGTCATTTTACCTCTGGTAGGAATTAAACAGCAATATCTTTCATATTGAAGGATAAACAAATAGTAGAACTTGTCCTTAGGTTTATTGCAGAATCCAAATAAAATAAAAAATTTAACGGTAGGACTTCTGGTAGCGGGCACGGGCTCCAGGACCTCCGAACTTCTTGGACTCGCAACGCCTAGGATCAGCAACCAAGAGTGATCTGTCATAGTTTATCAAGATGTTCTTGATTTCTTTCTTGGAGGCTTCATCAACAACTGGAAAAGATAAATACAATATAACTAATTTTTTCTATTTACAGATACCATATTCCATAATATACTTAAATTGAACAATTCGGCCTCTGCAAAATACTAGCTTGTGAACAGAATCCAGTAACAACAATTTCAGTTACATGGCCTTGTTCATCAAAAATGTTCATACGCAGTTTAAAAATACTTCAACTAGATTTATATTTGTACTTATTTTCTTACAGTAATGGAATATCATAGGACAAAACTATTGAAGGCACGGAACTGATATTAGCTCTACTCTCCAACCTTATATCCTTTAATTTGATTCCAATAATCTTAACCTATGAGAAAAGCAACTCAAAAATTGTTAAGTTAATTTTAACCAGAAGTGAAATATTCATCTACAGCAGGACTACTCAACTATTATGCACAAAGGTCCAGTTAGACAGGTTCCAATATAAGCAGAGGTCCAAATAAATATTTTGCATGTAAATATGAAAATAAAACCACTAATCTAAGTACTCCATCATGCTCCTATACAATATACATATAATACAAGATTAGGATATTTTTCTCTCGAAAATAACTGAAATGGAGAATTTTCAAGAATCCACTGCCAGGACCATTATTTTCTTTAATTATACTGTTATCCTCCTGGAGCCTTGGGTCCTGCTACAGCACTCAGAAGGTCCAGACTGTTTACCATCATCATCATTAAAAAAAATTAATATAAACTACTTACACTTCTGATAATAGGCAACCAGAGACTTGGATATGGCCTGGCGGATAGCATAGACTTGAGAGGTGTGTCCACCACCCTGTACGCGGACACGGATGGTTACTTTGGAGAAGCGTTTCTGTAATTAAAAGAAATTTAAATTAAAGCCAATTCTAGATTAGGATAGTTTAATATGGTTGATGCCAGAATGACACCATGCCATGACCACTGCTTTAAATCTACAAATTTTGCTTACAAGGATGGCTCCAAACAAGCTCAGTCACCAAGGAGACAGTATTATACTACCTGTAGATCTTTTTTTCAAGAATATTTTTAAATTTTCACATTACTATTAGAAAACTTAATGAGACAAACATAATGCAAGTGATTATTAATCATTACTTGAAGAAAAATAAGAAAAAATTAAGAACTACAGTGAATATTACAATTACCCAGCACTAATGGATTGATATTTTCATATTTAAACTATTTGTATTATGATAATACTATGGAAAAAAAAGACTTGTAACAGGTGACTTCTGCATATTTACCTTGCCTAAGAGAAGGACAGGCTCCAACAGCTTGTACTGCAGAGTCCTTGGCTCAACAAGCTCCAATGGGCGGCCATTGACCTTGATCAAGCCATTTCCGCGCTTGCAGTGAGCAACAGCAGTGGCAGTTTTCTGTGGAATAAAGCAGACATTTAACAAAATACTAGAATAATTTTTGAGAAGACTTGGATTAACTCAAAACCAAGATGATAATTAACACAAATATACACATTGCAAGTATACAAATGTAAACACACTAAATACAACAGCTAACAAACAAGATTAACTCATGGCTCCTTTACAAAGTTGAGTAGAAGAGGAACAAAGGTTTCCCGTAAAATCCCTATAGAAAAGGCAAGGTTTCTTCTCTGCCGTGTCAAAATTTTCCCAGTGACCAATTCAAAATGCAAGAACGTAAATCTCATAACATGAATTTGGTACAAGAGTTATTAACATATGTTCATCTAACATTCAATAATTTAATATTCTTTATCAACTCTTGCTATCAAGATATCATGTATATTCATGTTTCTATTGATTCATTAACAGATTTCTTTTATCTGTACTCAAAAAATCTACATATATCAAGAGGAAATAAACATTTGCATTGCTTGGCTATGTATTCAAACCACATCTATCTGAAGTTTGAAACTACAAATGGAAAATTTCACTTGACCATGTTCATCAACCAGATCTTCCATCATTTCTCCTGTTGCCTTTATCATGCAGTAAGAATGCAAGTAGTGAAAGAATTTTGACTGACTGAGTCATCAGGAAAAATTTTGTGTAACCATTAACAACACAGTAGTGCATCATACTGGCTTACTTTTATTAACCCAATACTGCTGGGTGAAGAAAATAAATAAAAACTGTACACTCAAGATTAATGGCAATGAGCCAACTTGAAGTGTGGGAGTTTGCTACAATAAGCAGAACGTTCTGCTCAAGGCGCTTTGGTGCATTGCAATGGGGTACAGCTGTACTCCGCAGACTGAGTGGTTTGTTATGATGCCACAAGGCATGACCCAGCAGTATCAGGTTAACAGCAAGTCTTTATGAATGTACAAGCTTTATCTTGCCAGAAACACACAAGGTGGTTTGTTAACCACAGTGTGTAAAGAGCAAAAGTCATTAGATTGCTTGATAAGTAGATCTGCAAGCTTAAATGTGCTTATCCATTCATACAATTACCCCTCAGAAAGGGTCAGGGCCTGCTATATAACCAGACTGAACACACTAAAGCTT